CACACTCACACACTCACACACTCACACACACACACACAGACACACACACACGCATGCACTCACACACACACACACTCACATTGAAACACACACACACACACACACACACACACACACACACTCACACTCACACGTGTAATGATAACTGAATCTTCTCATAAGAAGCTCTTTGTCAGTCTAAGAGTCATCACAAACACACACGGTATGCCGGCGCTAGTGAGGAGAGGGCGGATGTTAGGGGTTTCAGGTTTGGGGTCAATCTGTTGGTTTGGGGTCGCGGGGTCATGAGGTCATAAGGTCACCTCTAAACCTGCGGTCAGTTCCACCTCCCCACTGTGACCCTCAGCCACACCCCTCTGCTCGGACGGGCTCATGTTGGGTGACCGCTCATCATCATCATCATCATCGGTGGACAGAGAGAAGCTCTCTCCTCCAGACTCACTGTCGCTGTGGGAATCGGCCCTCGCGGGGCCCGCATGTGTGAGGGGCCCGGAGAAGTTAGCCGAGTTTACACTGCCGGAGTCGCTGGAGTCGTCGTCAGACTCATCGAGGGACTGCACTGAGCTCAGCGGCTCCACACACGCAACACACGCTTGATAATACACCGCAGGCTCCAAGGGCCCCTCTGGAGGTTCAGGTACCTGAGGCTGGTCCAGCGGTTCCTCTGCCGGCGGCTGCTGATCCGCTTCTTCAGCCGGATGCCTCTCTGGACTCTCTGAAGACTGTCAGACAAATAAAGAATATATGATCAACAGGCTTTTATATCATCTACAGCAGTTAGTAAAATACAGCTTTGTCTGTTTGAATGGAGATAAACGAACATCTCTAGAACTGTTCACCGCGATCACACGACAATAACATGTCAAATCAGCAATAATCAGAGCATTAGCTCCGCTGCTTTAGCTCAAATCAGACTCTTCAACACAAATGTGATTGGCTCATTTGACTGAAAGGTGGGACTTCCTTTTATTATTATTTATATTCTATTATAGCATTCATTTATATTATATTTTTATATTTTCATTATATATTTTATATTTAGCTTTTATTTCAATTTTAATCATTTTAATACTTTTCCTTATTTTACTTTTAATTTTCAACAAATAGTTATATTTAATTTTATTTTAAGCTTTATTTAAAATTATTTTAATAGTTTTAGCTTTAGTTAGTTCCAGTAATATATATGGAGTTTATTATTTTTTACCTTATTTAGCATTTTGTTTTTGTCTTTTCCAGTATAAATACCGAAACATTCCTAAATAAAAATACATTTACCTGAAAAGAAAAATTATGAAAGATATTAATTCTCGTTTTCTAATAAAAATGATCAAAATCAATCAAGTTTATGGTCAATGGAGTAAAAAATAATAATCTTGTTTTCCTTGTGAATTAAGTTGATTTTTCTAACCGATTTTTTATTTTTATTTTAAGTATAAACTCACTTCACTTTACTAAATCTTTCAAAAAACAAGACTTAATATCTTAAGTAATTTTTGCTTCTCCAGTAAATGTATCTTGATTTAAGAATATTTAGATATTTATACCGGAAAAGACAAAAACAAAAAACACAACAAGACTAAATACTAAGCACAGTTTCAACACTGCTCCAGTTTGATGCTCAGCTCCATTCAGTTCAGTTATGAAGCGCTTCTGACAATCAGTATTGATCTAAATGAGGTTTACAGAGAAGCATCTCTGAGGTGTTTGACTAAAACCTTGAGAGGAACACGAGAAGCTCTTTCTCCTCGTGAGAACAGATGAAGGAACAGATCTGCAAACTGAGTCTTTACAAAAGAACTGTTGCTGTAAATCAGAGCAGAGATGAGAGATGGGCTGAATGACACGATGTCTGACAGACACGAGGCTGATCGAGGAGACGCTTAAACACTGCGGGCATCAGAATATATGAAATCGATACGCAGGCTAGTTTCTAGAGTTTCTCCGGAGCTGCACCTTGTGTAAAGCCTGCGGCTGCGCGATCAGAGCCGGAGACGCAGACGCAGACGGAGCCCAGCTGCGAGTGGACTGCAAGAGCGCCGTGAGCTCAGGAGACATCTCATCGAAACTGGGCTTAGGCTGAACACAGAGAGACACACAGCGTTAAACACACACACACTCTTTCTCACACACACTCACTCACTCACACACACTCACACACACTCACTCACTCACTCACACACACACACTCACTCACTCACACTCTCTCTCACACACTCACACTCACACACACTCTCACACTCTCACAAACACACTCACACACACACACACACACACACACTCACTCACTCACACTCTCTCTCACACACTCACACTCACACACACTCTCACACACTCACACTCACACACTCACACAC